ACCTGGCTTAGAAGAGGATGAGGTGAGGACTGCTGGACGTGATAAGGCAGAAGTGGAGAGCTGCATTACCTGCCTGTGCTTCACTTCCCCTCTCTTCTTAACTATGAAAGGCTGTAGCCCATGGGTACAGGGCGAGATGGCAATATAGGGCAAATAGTCCGCAATGTGTTATTAAAGTGAGCTTCAGATAAATGTGCGTGTTTCTTTGGTCAAAATATATGGCCTTCTTCGATTTGGGAATCTCGGTGAAATTGACCTACGCATATTAACTTACATGGCCTGTACCACTACGAAGGACACACACGTGCTCCCTGAGACTGATGGAAGTGGGGAACAGCAGTAGTGTAGTTTTGTGGTTTAAGAACGACTGGCAATAGAGGACACATTATTTGTACACTATCCTTTCTTATGAGCATTGCCCCAGGAGGAGATCAATCAGATTCCTCAGGGAATAGTCCTCCAAAGATGAGAACTTCTGTGCTGTGAAAGGAGAATTTGATCTTCTTAGAAGAGTCCAAACAAATCAAGACTCATGACCTTGCTGTTAGGCAGAAGAGTGCCTTCCCTCTGATGATTTTTTAAAGTCGAGTCTGTTTAACAATTATAGTATGGAGAAACATATTCATGGTACCTCTCTGTTGGGCAAATAACTTGGCTGCTCTGGAAATATACAGGAAGAATTTCCAAACGTAATCTCACCATGGACCTTCAGCTAGAGATATTCACCTCTTACCATCAGCACCAAGTCCTGGCTTGAAGAGTATGGTAGTAGGGGTACAGAGAGCACTATCCTCCAAAATGGGCAGGCTCAGGCCAGGCCCAGGAACGGGCGGGCCAGTCGGGCACAGCAACAGAGGTGATTGGGGTCACTATGTGTCATAAACAGTAGGGAGGACATCACATCTGTCATGGGATCTACAGATGTGTTCAAGATTCTGAAAGGTGTGAACTGCACGAAGGAAGCCCTGCAGGCAGCATCGGTGGCTGGCTCCTGCCCAGGGCCTTCACAGTTCAGAATCAGCTTGTTCCTCTCAAAGGGAACAAACACACATGGCTGAGCCTCCTATGAGCACAAACACAGAGGTCTGGGTACTGTGTGGACAGGGAGTGATGATGAATCCAGACCCACGGCAGCACCTCCTATGGAATTCCTGTACTGAATAAACAATGGGTTGGCTAATATTTCTGAGGCACAAGATCATCTAATGAACCCTCCTAAAGACCAGTGAACTATAATGTTCCCAAGCCTAGAAAAGTGGGTGCAGATAAGCTATGTGACAGAGGGGACTTGTGTCTCATAAGAGGTCACACTGTAGAAGCTCACCCAAAAGTAACAAGTAGGATTAGTTAAGATGCACTTTTTTTTTCTGTTCTGGGAGGACTCTGAGAACATTCGCCTAGAAATTGTGCAGCCTTTTCTGATGCCATCTACTATGAGACAAAAGCTTCAGATACAGAAGCAATCACTTTTGCCTATTGTAAAAAGATAAGCAGGAGGGGTTCTTGTTCTTCACCCATTAGCACTTGCCAGTACTTCCTGCACAATCACCTAAATCTTAGCAGGCTGAGAATTTTCTCCTGTCTTTGGATTCATGGCCAGGTGGTTAACCTTTTTCCTACAGTGCACATGCATGGCCTTGTCAGAACATCAGGAATACTGCCACTAGGTATATTGAAAACTGGGACATTCTTGTGGGGAGGGACACAGACCAGACACAGGACACAGAGGGTACACTGTATCCTTATTTTGAGATCCACAAGGAAGCACTTAGCATCTTCTCAGAGGACTTCAGGGTCTGGAGGAGTTCCCCCACAGCAGATGTTTCTCTTTCCTCTACTGTGGTGAGCCTGGTCCTGCCTCCCCTGCAGCTTGTCAGGGAGCTATGAGTGTGACCAGCTACATAATCTCATGCACCTGCACCTGTGTCGTGTGGACCTTTTCTAGTATCTCATTCCATTAAAGTCCTACAGAAATGTCAATACAGTCTCAAAAACTATCCTAATTGACCAGCCAAGACAATGAGAAGATTAAGTTGCGAGTCAAACTACTTATTACCCAGTTGGGAAAGTCTGATAGTGTATTATTTTTCTCAGCACATCACCCAGGTTCAAAACATCATAGTCCTCAATTAACTTTCACGTCAAAAAGGCTTTGCTATTGGAGCTTTTCCACGGTGCTCAATGGCACAGGTAGGGCCTCGTACATGACACGAGTGAGGACAGGTGATTGTGGGCAGTTCCCCTGGGAGTAGGGGGCACCCATGGACAGCTCAGTTTTACGTTCTTAATTCAGGCCAGGTTTCAGAGCCATGGAACATGGTCTATGTACACCCTGAAAGGTACTTAAAAATTTTCTCTAAGTATGGAAGTGAATTCAGAAGCACAGTTGGGTTCAAGTTGGGAGGAATGGGGACAGTGTGGCCTGTACACGACCTCACACTAAGAGTCTCCTCCTAGCTTTGTCCCTTACTACACAGAGATGCCAAGAAGTTTCCACGAACAGTAGGCCTCAAGTTCTGCATTAATAAAATGGGTTTGATACACATTTATGGTTGTAGGACCAGTAGAATCTAAAAAGTGTATTAAAACACCTTGCTTTACTTCTGTCATATTTTGAATAAACAGTGAAAAGCAGCTGGTTCTACTACTTTAATCTCAGACTCTATCACACTTTTACAGGAAAATATGTGTTTCCCAGGGAAGTTTCAGTATGTTATGAAACTGAATGGAAAATCTGGCAAAAATGATTTCCCTTCAGGACAGAAAGATATAAAATCTCAGTTTCCTCATTTGTAATACGTAAAAGAATATTTCTGGCCAGAGCCTCCCACCCGTGTGCCATGAGTAGGTTACAGGTTTTCCAACTCTTCTCAGCTCTCAGTAGAGCTGGAGGCTCACCAACAATTCATGAACTCCAAGCTCAAGCAGCCTCAGTCATCTATCCCAGTGTATTATATCAAGGCCATTTTCCATATGTTCCGTAAAGTGAAGAAAGGAAGTAATGGATTAAGTCAGGGAATCACCCAATGATGGCACATGACCACAGTCTACTCTGTCACTTAATTTTGTACAGTTTGACAGCAAAGATGTCTGGAGAAAAAAATTAATGACTGAAGAACATTTTTAGGGGCTGTTGATATACTTCAGTCATACAGCATGTGACTAGCATAGCCAAAACCCTGAACTTGAGCTCTAGAACTTGGAGGCAAAAAATTGCTGAAAATATACTCTTAAATGGTTGAAAAAATAGTTTATGAAATGAGAAACATGTACAAAATGAAAATTCAGTGTCCATAAATAAAATCTTATTGAAATAAAAAAATGCTACTCATAAACACTCCCCCAATAAGCTCTCTCCAGGAGGATGTATTACTTGATCAGATATTGGGGAGACTTGGGTGAGACCAACTAATTCACAGCTCCTGGAATCTGGGTGAGAAATGATATTTTCTCCCTGGCAGCTTCTTTTCACTGCACCAACTATTTCCAGTCATATCAGCATCAACCAAAAGCCTATTCTTGAAGATTACAAGGCCTCTGTGTCAATGAGGCCTAAAAACCTGATCATTCTACTGACAAATCTAGCTCAACATGGACACTGGTCCAAGAAACTTCAAGCAAAATTATACACCCTATCATTACAACATCTACCTTCTTCAGAAAGGAAATAATGGAAAACTGGCCCAGATCTCATCCTGCTGTTACATAGGAGAAGACACTCATGAACAATGAGAAGGGGCTCTGGAAGGAGGAGCACTGGGCCAGGCAGTCATCCGATCACTTGTGTAACTGGCTAAAGCAAGTGACCGGATCCTCCCGTGCACCTTGTAAGAGTGTGAGGCAAACTGGACTCACTAGGGGAAGCTGTCCCAGAAAAGCCAGTCACCATAGCACTGCAAGACGCTGGTAAATGGACACTCCCAGCTGACGGGAGAGCACCTGGTCAGGGTCATAATGGCCTCACTTCAATTGAGGGTCACCCTTATGTCTCAGGAAATCTTTGAAGATGCTGAGCGTAAATCCCCTGGTTCCTTCCCTGGGTAGGACCACTCTTCTCATCGAGATTCCTCTCAGTTTCACCCAACTAAAAGCACTGCCCAGAGCAGTCCTCCATGCTCTCAGGCTGTCCTCTCAGGCCCAAGACTCCTCATCTGACGGCCTGGCTCGGCCACCTTGCAACTGCATTAAATCAACTCCAGCAGAAAGACTGCAGTTACCCCAAGCCCCAAACTTCGGTGGCTCAGCACACACCTGTGGCTGCACTCTGCCACTCCCGCAGTGCTCTTTTAATGCCCTTTAATTCCTTGAGGACATCCCTCTATTTTCCTGACATTTGTGATACTCTTGGCCTCCGCCATCTTAAAAGGTAGACTTGATTCTGCTCCGTGTAGTGTTCTCATATCTCCACTGCAGACACAAGGCCTTCCAAAGGCAGGTGTGCAATAAAAGTTTAGAGATGCATGTGCCCGTGAGCAGATGGGAGTAAATTTCCCTAATAGAATAAAGAAAGACATCATATTCAGGTAGGTATATATTTTAGTAGTATAGAATGATAAGGAAAGGAAAAAGAAGCTAAGTGTTGTTTTTCACTCTTTATTTCTGTACTTGATCTCACTTGATTTAAACTTTTTCCACATTACAAGGGATTATCTATTCCAATGCTTTCTTGTCACAAATAAAATGAAAAGTTTCTCAGTTTGTTTCACAAAAGGAAAGACTTTCACAACGGAATAGAAAAATAAAATCCACTTGTGATCAATGTCACACAAAATCACCTTTACATCAGAAATCACACTCAGATATCTTCATCCCCAAACTAAAATTACAGTTAACATCAGCACCTTTCTGCAAATAAGATGTGCAAGCTACTTCAATCTTACAAAAAAGGAAACAAGTTTTCAAAAAGTCATAGAGAAAGCCAGTGCTAGTTTCCAAGTAATCCAAATAAAACAGATGTCAAGGTGGCACACAGGATATTTCCATAGTTTTCCTCTAACCCTTCATGGCTTAGAAAATGGCCTGGTTGCCTCAAGCATAGACCGAAGAATGGGGCTTGCTTCACACGGCGTGGGAGCTAATCTATTGCTGTGGTTTGGTAAATTCCGTGCCCCTGGCATCCACTTTACCCATTCAGGAGCCCTCACCATAACTTGTTCCTCTCTCACAGCCTCATCGTACAGAACTGGGTAAGACCTCACATCTCTCCTATGAAGCCTGGCCAAATGCTCTCGGAGTTTCATCTTGCTTGTTTCAGCATGGGCCCTTGGACCCCACAGGAACTCATATCGAGTAGGGAAACTATTACGAATCTCCTGGTATTCCAGGTACCCTTCCCGTACCAAATCCACAGTGATGAATTTCCAGGGATCCCCAATTGCAACATTATTCCTCTGAGCTAACATCTCCCTCATTCGTAGTACTTTTGTTATGTCCTCCTCACTGGCACTGTTGCCTTTCATGAAGATGACGGTCAGGATGACTATCAGGATACTGATTTGAGGAAAGCTTCGATAATCATCACTCAGTAATCCATTATAAGTGAGGCCCAGTAAGGGGACAAGCATGTACGCGTGGCCTGGGGGATACACTTCCCTCACATCAATGCCAAAGCCCAGACACATGCACTCACAGAAATCGCTGAAGATCAGAGGGAATTGTTCATGGTAATCATGGTCCACAGTGTGCAGCATTTCTTCCATGGTGACCTGCTCCTTCTTTTGATACTTGCGGAGCAGGAATGGCACCAATTTCTCTAACTTGTCATTTAGAAACACACGGTGCAGCAACTGAGTCAAGTTTGTGTCCTCTGAGGGCCTCTGACCCTCCACATCTTGTCTAGATCCCTTTCTACTTTGACTCCTTTGACTGGACACCATGGCGGTTGGGGAAGAGACAATGCCCCAAGGATTCTGAGGACAGCTTGGTGTCTCAAGTTGAAGCCCATCTCTTGGTGTGGGGCCAATTATAGTATGGGAGGAGAAAAATGAAAAGGAAGCAGTGACTGCTGCTTCCTCCCCAACATTCTTAGGGACTTCAGGACCCTTAAGGACCTGTGTATTTCTTTGGATCTGACGGCCTCGCCCCAGCTTGTTGCGTTTCCTCCTTTGACCACGGGGCATTATGACGTCCTGGGTGGACAGTGAGTCCTTGTTATTCAAGGCAAAGAAGCCTGGAGGAGAAAGGGAGTCCATTAGTGTTCTCAGCTGAGAAAAACACACTCTTTACCCCTCCCCCCGCCCCGTGAAAGACCATACAGGTGCTCTAGGATTCACAACCTCCTGTTCCCATGATCCTGGGATATGGAATGAGGTTGCTTTGCAGGCTGCAGTTGAACTCATAGGACAAGGCTCTAAGAAAGATATTGTGGCATATGAAGCTTGGGGACTATGAAATGTCCTTCTCTGGGAAGGGGAAACCTTAGGTCCACATCGGGGCATGCATCTCACCTTGACTCCTGACCCTGCCTGGCCTCCTCTGCTGAGTGAGCTGAGGACGCTGGTCCACAACAAGACCTTCACCCCTGGTTGCCAGAGCTCCTGTAAGAGGCATAGAGGCCCTCAGGCACAGACCTCAAGCACAGTCTTGCTGTCCCAGGACGGGTGGGCTGGACTTGAGAGCTCCACACTTTTCTGGGTGAATGGTCAACTCTATGCTCAGTCCAGACACTGGCAAACTCAGAAAAAGTGTCTTGCTCTTGAGAAGTAAAAAAGACACCCAGGGGACACACATCTGGCCACAGCTGCCTGCGGGCAACAGGTGGCATGGAAAAATTCAGTGCTCTACATGTGTCCTAGGAAAGTGAACCTGTTCCATCTTTACCTCAGTGAATGGTTAGGGGTACTAGTCTCCCTGCAATAACTTTGAACCAAGTTCTTTAAAATTCAGCCTTGTCTCTGACACATTGAGAGAGGAAGTGAGGGAATGGGAGTCCATCTATGTTCCCTGGTGTGACTACAGGGGACCAAAGGGACAGGCCAAGGACAGCATACTTTGTGTTCAGATGAGTGCATTACCTATGCCTCAGGTAGGCCCTGTATAGGCCCTGGGATCGTACTTCTGCTGTCCTGACTCAATTCCACTTGTCCCAAGGCTGTCACCTCAGTGAGACCAGTCATAGAGACTGAAGAGAGCATACTCAGCCCTACACCCTTGTGCAGGCTGCCTGGGATGACAGTAAGCACAGGTCCAATGTCAAAAGACCACACAACTTTCTATGTTCAGGTCAGGCATACACTAACTCCTCCCTTATGGTCCTCAACTTGACTCTTGGCAGAGAGGGCAACTGTGTGTCTCCTGACCAGGTGGGGCTCCCCGTGCCAACCTGAAGACACACCTCAGGTGGAGCCCCTCACCTCCCGGACATCTCTGGGATTCTCAAAAGAAGTGAGCAGGCACCCATCGTGCCACCCTGACATGGGAACATCAGCCCTGACAGAAAGGTCTGTGCCCATCTCTCCCGTGATGCCAGCCTCTGCTGTGGTTTAAGTCCGGATTTCCTCCAAGGCCCATGGGATCACAGGCAAGACCTCCAGGAGGTGACTGCAGCATGGCGGGGGCTTACAGCTGC